CCCCAAAACCCCAAAACCCCAAAACCCCAAAACCCCAAAACCCCAAATTAACTAAAAGATATTGAAAATAATAAAATTTCGCTTGATTTGATTATTCCAAAAATGATTTTAAGTTAATTTTATCAATGAAGAAATTTTATTAACCCTTACAATAATGCAGATATTCAGCAAAGATTGGGTGCTGAACTTTGATATCATCATAGCAATCTGGTTGATCAATAAAGTAAACATACAGTCTAGCTTTCAACTCAAGGCATTTCCATTTCTTAAAATCATTGTTGAAGAATCATTCACCTAATCCTTCAGCTGGATGTCAACTTTCTCTAGTCGTATTAGCATATTTCCCAAAAGCTTCTAGGACTTCTTGCCATTCATCATCATCTCCTTCAATATCTCAATATTTTTGACCTTTCACTGAGAATCCGCATTTGCACTGAGCAAATATATCTTCAACTGTAGTTGGGCAGTCAAGGTCTGTTGATCAAATCTTCCCTAAAAAATTTATCAAACTCTTAAAAAGTAAGTACCTTTTTGCAAAGACTTGACTCCAGAAAATCATCTGCCAGTTGTCCTATTATACCATCCACTTTCGCACATTTTCTCGTTACCAAGCTGACTAAACACCTTCCTGTTAAATTCAGGAATGACTTGTTCATCAGTTTCGAGTGAGAGGTACTTGATACATTTCCTAAAGCAGCCATAGCCTCTGATGCACTCCTCATTTTGAGTGCAAGCTTCTCCTTCTTCCTTAGAAGGGACACAGAACCCAAAAGGGTTACAGTAAAAGCCATAGTGGCAATCTGCATGTCTTTGACAGATATCGTCCAGAGATCCTCCCTCTCACATTCCATATTTGTTTCAGTACTTTCCTCCAAATGCTCAGATTCCTGGCTTCTTCTCATAGCGACAGTTGTAGCCAGGATAATATAGACTTGGAAAGTTCCTGTCTAGTGAAATATTAGATACATAAATTATTCATGAAAAGTTGAGATAATTTTATAGAAGTAAAGTGCCTATTTACCAATTTTTGGAGCGCATTGTCCAGTTTCATTTCCTGAGAAGAAGCACTCTTCTTTATCCCCTCACGTTGAAGGATTGAGTACTACTGTATCTGCTGTTGATTCAGCTCAGACTCCTTCTCTTGTCTGGTTACTACATCTATAAGCCTTACAGATCTCTGCTGCTTTGGTGAATTTCCATGTTCCTAAAATCATTGCCATTAAGGTCATGATTATCAGAAAAATTTGGTTCTATATTTGAGAAAACAATGTCTGAACCTTAAGCCCCATGCTCAGATTATAAATTATTATATTACTTATCTAAAATTTTAATTTGGTATTTTGGGGTTTTGGGGTTTTGGGGTTTTGGGGTTTTGGGG